ATTATTTGATTAATCCGGATAAAAAGTTTTATGTTAACGGTTGTCATTCGGATGAGTCTTGGCAAGGAGTAAAGAAATTTTTTGTGAGAAAAGTTTTTTTTAGTGATTGTTGGCAATAATGTATCGAAAAATATGTTTGCAATTTTGTCACATCCGAAAACGTCTTTCAATATTATACTGTCTTTTCTCCTGCTCTCTATGCGTATTGATCATTGCAGCAGGATTCAATAACACGCACTGTAGAATGCGTTTCTTCCAAAAGTATTTTAATTTACATACTTGCGTTTTTGTTGAATGTAATCTGACACCACTTCTGAATGCTCGAAGAGTATTATGTGATGCATTCCGAACCGGAAGATACTATTGATAAACAGAATTGGCTTAAACGCACTTGAAACAATTGTAATCATATCAGCATTAATGCGTGCATACTCGGAATGTTGTTCGAATTGAAGAGCAAGCCGTCGACATGTTGAGGTATTAAGTTTTAGGGCAATCTACTGTTAAAAATTCTCTCTCTCTCTTTTATTTTTTTTCGTATTCGTTTTTATTGCTGATCGGATATATTATCTTGAAGTCAGATGGATTACACGATGGATAAATCGATTGATGGCGAGTACGTTTGATAGGTTGATAATCAGAAAATTTTGTTTAATTTGTACGCAGATCGGATAAATTGACAATAATATACAACACATTGACGTCATATAACTGAGGGCTAAGCCACTACGGACATTGATTAATCCGTATGGAATAATTGGGCCATCAATGTAGATTAGATAAAATTTCAGTCTGTGAAGGTTATTTTGTCGACAAGAGATCAAAAGATCAGATGCATTCTATACATTTGCATCTCGTCAATCGTTACTGGCTGATGAATAATCAGTATCTCCAGTGGAACACTGCGGTTGCTGCAATAGTTTTCGGGACATTCGTACCAGAGCGATGAGATAGACACTAAGAGTCAGTTCACATCACCGCCTTGAACTTTACTCCTACTAATAGGGCCCAGCAGCTCACGTAATTACGGGATTCTGTAGTGCATTTAATGTCTAATTGATAATGAGTGAAGCAAACATTGATTTAGCAATAATTTTTTCTGGAATTTTAGCATTCACAACTGATGCAGGGGAGGGGGGGGAGTTTAATTCATAGCTCGTATATAGCAAAATGATCTTCTTACTTTACTGTTACTTATAGCTTTCCTCTTCAATTCCGGTCTCAAATGCTCGGCACTACTTATATGCGCTGAGGCATCTTACATGCAAAGGATTACCAATAGAAACCGTTGTCTCTATTGATCAACAAACATCAACTCAAATTTGAAAGGAAACCCCTGTTTTGCATGCGTCTACAATTCAAACCTAATTACAAGTCGATTGAAGTTAAAGTTCCAAGAAAAATAGTCAAAATCTGCAATCTTCATGCAAATTTCATTTGATAATCAACTCCAATCATTTCGATGATCCAGGGGAGATTGCACAGCATCAGATAATCATTTTCGCTAATCCAGGAGAACAATAAAATAAAATAGAACAGACGCTGTATTAATACGAGCGTCCCAAATGCTCGAGTATTCAAAAAACGTTAGAAAGATAAACAATCCACGATTTTGTAATATGCATCATAGAAAACCATGTCAAAACGAACAAGCTTTAAATATTAATGTACTACAGAGATAAGAGATGCGAATGCCATTTCCATTCTAGTTTACACGTGGTAAGTTTGTTGCGTGCTTGTAAGCAAAATGTGTTTCATGAAATGATGGTATTTACCAGACCTTTTAAGACTGATTATGCAATGCAATAAGCTGCTTAGTGGAAGGCGTATTTTTATTCAGTAGTTAAAAAAAAGTTTGGTCAATATTGAATTGAGCTATTTTAAAGAGGTGCGTTTTGTATTAAGAATTTTAGCGGAGCTAACGGATAAGAAATTCCGTTCGGTGACGGTAAAAAAATTGTGGGGGCCACGTTCTTTTTTAAGCGACGTGACACAGACCACCTGACTCAAGGTTATGATCAACAAATGTTACCCGGACGGTAATTGACGGGAAAGGGTACATCTAGAATAGAACAGCGAGAAAACGCTAAACATTGTTGCGATGTTGAGCGTAATTAGCCATAGGTGGTAATTTTTAAACTAAAGAGTAGCACGACATTCACTCTTAAGGAACACAAGGTAAACACTGTAGACAATGTTAACACTTGTACTTGACTTGGAAATGAAAGTTTTGCATTACTGAATCAAAAAGTGCTAACTTTAATGAACATATTAAAAAAGAAACTTAATAACATCATTAATAATGCGAATCATAGATCTGAAACATAATCTTAACCCGAATATTCTCCAAATCCGAAGCTTACCTTTTTTAGAATAATCTTAAATACAACAAGATATCCTTAATACTACGAGCATGCTAGAATGTGTACATATCAATTACGATAAATTGATATGCCTAACCTACTTATCACCGGAGACAACGAATTTGGGAGTTGAAAGGTTTAATTTGGGAAGGCTCAGTTCTTGATCCGGAAGAAGGTATCCGTTTCCGCGGTCTAACCATACCAGAATGCCAAAAAGTGCTGCCCAAAGTCCCTGGTGGCGAAGAGCCTCTTCCTGAAGGTCTTTTCTGGCTATTAGCTACTGGCGAGGTTCCCACCGAAGACCAAGTAAAACAATTGTCTTTAGAATGGGCCGCTCGAGCAGCTTTACCCAAATTTGTCGAAGAGATGATTGATCTTTGTCCAAATACTCTTCACCCCATGAGTCAATTCTCTTTGGCTATCACTGCATTACAGCACGAGTCTAATTTTGCTGCCGCTTATCAGAAAGGAGTTAACAAGTCTGAATATTGGTCGTATGTGTTCGAAGATGCTATGGACTTGATTGCCAAATTACCAAATATCGCCGGGAGAATTTACAGAAACGTGTTCAAGGACGGAAAGGTAGCGCCCATCGAAAAAGACAAGGATTATTCCTATAATTTGGCAAATGTACTCGGATTTGCGGGCGATGCCCAGTTTGTCGAGTTGTTGAGATTGTATTTGACTATTCATTCAGATCATGAGGGTGGAAATGTATCTGCACATACTACGGTGAGGTTTATCGATCGAAATGAGAGATTAAGAGTTGTAAAAGATACCGTATTCGAGGCGTTTGTTTCTAATAATTACTTTCCGATACTAGAGACTTGTCGGCAGTGCCCTCTCTGATCCATATCTATCCTTTGCAGCTGCTATGGACGGGCTAGCTGGTCCGCTTCACGGGTAAGCTATTCTAACGCTACCTCGACCCCTTTCAATAATATTACACATCTCATTTCCAAAATTTATTGTCTCCTCAATTAGGCTTGCAAATCAAGAAGTCATCCGTTGGGTTCTCAAACTCCGTGACGAGATTGGTGAAAATCCATCTGATGATACAATAAAAGAGTATGTCTGGAACACGCTTAAATCTGGTCAAGTTGTTCCAGGGTATGGGCATGCTGTCCTTCGTAAGACTGTAAGTTTTTTCTGCCAACAATGATGAAACGGGATACTTGGTCAAGATTCGTTCTGATTGATATATTTTACTCAACGCGTATCACTTTACAGGATCCACGCTACATGGCACAGCGAGAGTTCTGTTTACGACACTTACCCAACGATCCACTTTTCAAAATCGTTTCTCAACTTTATAATCTTGTACCTGGAGTATTAGAAGAACATGGAAAGACCAAGAACCCTTGGCCAAATGTTGATGCTCATTCTGGCGTCGTATTACAACATTTTGGTTTAGTTGAGCAAAACTTTTACACTGTATTATTTGGTGTATCGAGATGCTTGGGTGTTATGCCGCAGTTAATCTGGGATCGAGCTCTGTAAGTATTGTTTATCTGGTGCTTGGACTTGAGACGGTTTACGTGCGTGGCGAGGATGATCGTAACCTTTTGCCATATGCCTGATCAAATTTTTTTTTTGATTTTAATAGTGGATTCCCGATAGAACGACCAAAGTCTTACTCGACAGAGATGATCAAGAAGATATTTGAAGAACAATCGTCTTAAGCACGAATAAACAACATATTGTATTTAGAGCTATCACATAGAAATCTTATCGATCTTTGTTTATAAAGTTAAAGATTTGATTTGCTTTTTCACTTTTATTTTTTTTTTTTCGATCAATCAAACCTCCACATTTTGAATTATAATCAATATCGAGTGATTATCGAATGCATAGATACACACAAGATGGTAAATTCACTCGAAATTATCTATGTAATCTTTCATCCAATCGGTAATTTCTTTTGCCAAATTCGTTACACAATTAACCTTTTAATATTAATGTAAGTGTGGTTCTCTTATTGGCTACAGAATTCACGCAGAGTTTTTGTTATTTGACGTGTCAGTAACTAATAAAGATTGTCACAGTGTCGACGTGTCAGACACATCCAAACATCTACATTATTTGTATTAAACACAATTGAAGCCGAGGGTCTTCTCTACGCTTACTTAGTATACCTCCTCATATACTTTGCATAATGTCTGTTCACGCATCAGTTGAGAAGCCTTCGCTTTTGGCTAAACTTAACAATTCAACGAAAGAAGTAGCATTTACGACTGTGGCCAAGGCAGAAGATAATATTCTACCTAAAACCATCGAAGAAAATGCACCACTTGGTCGTTTACAAGAAGCACGTAAAGTGTTGGCGGCCTCTCACAAAGTTCCGACACCAAAGTGAGACTATATCTGAACGAAGCAACATCATATATAATTCGATAACCAATGAACAATCCTTTTTCTCCTCGCGATGCCTTTTTATTTCATGTAGTACTACTTCTCCAACTGATAGCACGCTCTCACCATGTACAAAGAAATTAACAGCGATGAAATTGAAGAGATATGCAAGGTTCGGAATTGCTTTGTTGTTTACTTGGACTTTGATGTGCGCATAAAAGTAACTGAATTCTATATGGTTGCGTTTTTCAGGGCCAAACCAAGGTTCTTGGGTAAAGCTTTGTTTAAAGTACACGATGAGGAGAAGACGGTCGACAAGACTGAAGTGTGATTGACAGAACATTGGAATGATAACGCAAAATCAATGTGTGCGATTAACGCGGCGCTCTTTCATGAAATCAAAAACGTTGTTTGTTACAACGACTTGTAATTAATTGCAAGTTGTGATTTTTACCGTTTTATTCTGTAACCATAATCCAGAAACCTGACAATTTGTCAAATAAATCAAATACATCTACCTCGTAATTATCCTACGCGTGTCTCGTAGGGAGAGAAAGAAAAACATGCCAAACACTCAAATACATGCCAAACACTCAAATACTAGCGAAACAGTTACAGTTGCAACAATACATTTATTATGTAAACGAGGCTCACATTGTTATCTTTCTCTTGTATATCCCAGATCTCTGCGGATAGTTTGGAATCTGACGTGGAATACGCGAAAGATAATCCAGTGGATGACTCGCAGGATGGCTTTTAGCTGCAAATATGGTACCAGAATCGATTGTTATCGCTAGTAAAACTCTTATTATAAAGAGAACTGTTTAAACAATTTTCAACGCAATAAATTCTGTTTTTACCTCACGACTACCTAAGACAAAAAGAAATGCTGTAAAACCTGATGAATTAACCGGAGTATAATTGTATGAATATCTTAGTATTAAGTATGTGATCAACTCTTTCTCCAGCATTTATTAAAAGGATTGTCAACTAGTCGAATAATATGATAGAAGAGACAAAAGCCACAAGGTCAAAGTATAATGCTACGCGAAATACTACGCGAAATACTAAACGGGTTATCTCATTAACGCACAACTTCCATAAGCTGCCACGTTTATTTTCCTTTATACACGCGTCCTTATAATCACAGAATTTCAGCATCACTTGCACTTGGCTTGCCGCTCGAATACTTGCTTTCAAATAAATGAGGATTATTTCCAGATTATTATTTGTCATCAAATCATGTGATCTATACGCCCATATTAATATGTTAATAAAAATTTTACTATTGTAACCCGGAAAAGATTTCATATTAAAAATGAAGACTGAAAGTCAGATTTGACAAGAACCGACTGTTTCGGATGCGTTCCTACATTTAACTTGTATGAGAATACATGACATATTTCATTACATCAATATAAATACAGTGGTTGATAGAATTTGGTTGACACACTCTTTTACATTCTCTGCACCAAGCCAACAATGACATCGACCCAAATTGACAGTACCGTTACCAGTCGTCCCAAATCTGCGGACTGGGCGATTGAAGTATCCAACTTGAATTTCAGTTATGGCGGACCATTCACATTGAATGACGTTGAGTTTAGACTGCAGAGAGGAAGCAGGTGTTTGCTAGTTGGTGAGTATATCCGTAAACCGATATTTTGTTCATGGCTTTTTGGGAAAAAAAAAAGGTACCAAGTATCCGTTCTGCTTTTAGGGGCGAACGGGGCTGGCAAATCAACATTATTAACAATACTGGCAGGCAAACGAATGGTCAGAGATAAAGTCCTCGTCTTTGGCAAGGATGCCTTTAATGACTCGCCGCCTGTAAGTGCTGCTACTTTCGCATACGCGGGTTTTCAAACAAATGCAACCCGCGCACTCGATTCGATTTCACTGACGGTTTTTTGCATACTTATTAAATTCCCATCTACATACCAAGTAACCAGGGTGTAACATATCTAGGAACAGAATGGGTTAATAATCCTGTTGTCCGCGGAGACGTCCGTGTATCCACTTTGCTTTCCAAGATGAATGGTGATAGGTATGCCGAACGTCGAGATCGCTTGATTAAAATCATGGACATTAATCCCGACTGGCATATGCACCAGGTATCTGATGGGGAAAGACGAAGAGTGCAATTGGTTTTGGGTTTGATCAAGCCATGGGAGCTGTTATTAATGGATGAGGTTACAGTTGATCTGGACGTGTTGGTTAGGGCGGATTTATTAAGGTTCTTGAAAAGAGAGACAGAAATACGAGGCGCTACTATCGTGAGTACCAAGTCTGGAGAACGTGCTGAATTGATACGCGTGATTCTTAGCTTTTGATCGCTTCGCGCCCAATCACTATTAGGTCTATGCAACCCATATATTCGATGGACTTGGTAGTTGGCCAACTTGTGTATCGCACATGAAACGTGGACGAATAGTTTCCAGTTACGAATTTTCTAATTTTCCTGAATTGGATGCAGTTATAGCCGAACAAGTGCAACTGCGATCTACTCTCTCCTCAACTGCATTGCGTAAGCACATGGACTCGCCATTGTTAATAGTTGTTGAGCGCTGGTTGAGAGAGGATCTTCAAGAACTCCGGGCCCTAAAAGACGCGAATAATGAAAAGGACAAAGCCCTTCTTGGTGAAGCTAAACCGAGAACCAGATGGGATGAATTGGAAGAGGATGTGGACAATTATGGGGATAAATATTACAATTATTGGAGATAGTAATAAGTATTCGAAAGAATACGCCAAACGGTAAATTTTTTAATGTGAAGTTGTTCCAAGTCTTTGATCCAAGTGCGCATATTAAGTATAGTAAACGTGGGGACATGTAATTTCAGTTCTTGATAATTAGATATTTATTAGTCTAAACATATATACAAGCAAAGGTGAATCGTACTAAGAAAACAACAGGGAATGTCTTTAGAAATTGTTTCTATAAACGTTTGATGAATTACGGATTAGTATGTATCGTATATACGCAAGTATTGTATTTTTTATTTTGCAACACTCACTGTGCTATGCCTCGTCCCATTGGTTTTCCTTTGTAATCATTGCTCTCTCCACAATATATTTACCCTCCTTGTACTTTTGTGCTTCCTCAAATGCAAAAACCTTAAATAACAGCGTTCCGGTTGTTGATCACACAAGTTAGAAATGAGCTTGCTGTGAACTACTTGGTTGTATAACTCTTACTTACGTATTTCCATCCGACCACCTGCGCGCAAACGTTACATCGAATATCTTTGACCGAATGTAGCCCGGTTATCAATAGGCGGTCTTCTTTTGGTCCTAAAGATATGTTCTCTCTTTGGATAACGATTTAAAGTTGCATTGGTAAGATTGAGGAATAGTGGATAAGATAATTATATGGTAAATACCCTACACTGAGCCAAACAAGAAAGCACGACCATGTCTGCCTTGGAATGCCTAACGGACGTGGTCAGTTAGTTAGTTGCATTCAAAGGTAACAGTTTCCACTGTCGATAGGTGAACATACTTTTGACATCAAATCTTCGTGTTTTGCCAGGTGGGTATGGCATGTGGTGCAAGCGTATATTCTGTCACCAGTCAAGAAGGTTTGGTACACTTTCCCCATTGCAATTTACTTATGTGGGCGTTTTGTTAAGGGGAAAGAAGTCTCTTGCTTTTGAATGTTTCCAGTTGTACAAGAATTATAGTATTGTGTAACGGTATAGAATTGATAGTAAAAGTCGTTTTTTTTTTATTGCTTCTGGAGGCTATGTATATATATATATATATATATAATCGCTATATACAATGGCTGAGAAACTTGGTTCGATGGTCTGTTCTTTTGAACGGCATTCTCACGCGCGCTGTCTAACCCGATATAAGTAGTTAGCTGTCAGTACCTCAGTGCTTACGCATACGCTTTATACAGTTTGGTTACTACTACGACCAATGACATCCAAAAGAACACCACGCATGTTGCAATGATTGCAACAACTAACGCAGCAAAAAGCGCGAAACCTACACAAATAGAAATGAATGACGCGTAAGAGACAATTGAACTAATATGTGTCGATTAGGGTCGCATTCTGTCGTCAACTTACCTGCCATACCAATAACCGACAACCATATGGTCAATCCAATACAAAACGCTCCACAGAATATGAATACGGTGACAAGTGCAGCGAAAAAAAGGAAGCAGAGTGTGGGAACAGTTGCAAAGACCGCAAAGATAAGCAAGAAGAGCTGTAGAAGAAGACAAAGCGTTAATGGTTCATAAGTCATATGCCGTCAATCGAACGAGTCTGCCAATTGATTTGATATTTACTTTAGTCAGTGGATAGTCTCTGCCGAATGCTTGATATTTTTCACGCAAATTATCAACATGAACCTGTCTAATAAACAGAACGGAGGAAAAGATAGAATAGTCCGTCAGCGTTGAGAAAACCAGTTTGGTGTCTGACTTTACAATGTTACGTACGGTATTAGCTTTTCGGCCCATGCTTGTACCTTCTCGCGCTGAATATTTTCGAATTTCAAGCTCATTGTGTATTGTATGTATCGTTAACTAGGCGAATTCAGACTTGCAGAGCAAAGGCGCAGATATCTCAAACGTATGGGAACGTCCAGATGTTATATACAAGATTAATGTGGCCATAAATGGCTGAAACAAAGGGTGTGGTTGTAACCAATGACAAAAAGATCTCCATTGTAATCGAAGGATTTTACGTCAACCCTTTCATCGCAAATAAAAAGGACAAGAAAAAATTCACTAAGCAAGCTGTCGTGGAAGCTGTAATTCTTCGTGATAAGAAGTACATCAGAATCGACCGATCTCGCGTTATTATTACTATTTAAATGCTAGTAATAAGGCTCGTAATCGGTAAGAGAAATACATGATGGGGCACATATTCTAGCTTTTCTGGGAATTGCGCGTGCACATTCCAGGAGCTAAATGTCTAATTAATTCGCCATATTCAACGGTCCCCCTTACAGAAAGATAAGCAAAGTACGTATACTCTTTCAAATGATTAGTAGTTTATCTCCCAATTAGAATACGTTGATGGGTTAATAAATTAACAAGGCAGTTCTGCAGACGGTCTTAAATATCTAAAGTACTAGCTTGGTTATTTGAGTTCATAGTAACGAAAAAGAGCAATATCGATTGATAATCAAAATACGCCACTAGTCTTTTCGTTATCTTTACTTGTAAAAGTATAGGATATTTTCTGTAATAAATTTTGTACTTTTTAATTTTTTAGTTTATGACACTGTCCGAGTACACATTAAATTGCTAAGCAAATGCCAAAACAGGATTAGCGCAAGTCTTAAACATAGTGTACTAATTTTAGTGTAATTGATGGCAGGCTTTTAATTTGCTTATGTCTGATAAATTGTAAAAATTTAGCCACACATCCAGGTTCTGACTGTATGAGATTGACATTAACCAAGTTTATAAAGTTACTTACTGTATTTATTAATACATGTAGCAAATTTAATCCATTTTTAACGATTTAGCTAACCAGTTATATCACATAAGCGATATATATAATGAAGATAAAATTTTCCTTCTTACTGACAGTCGATTTTCTTGTGATAGAGAATAGTAGCTTGTATGATTTACGTCTCTAACTCGATCGTATATTGTGTTGTCATTATCGACACTTGATCTATTACGCACTGTTCTTGTGATACTTAATAAGTGATCGCTCGAAGATAACATAAGACCTACTAGACATATTTATAATAAAACGTTTCACCAGCCATTTACGGGGATACCAAGAAGTGTAATATTTCACGTCTGTCGATTGACTCTAATTAATATACGCGAGGTGTTAAAGATCAATAAATGAAGACTTGTCAGAATTAACGCCGAGTGTTTAGTTTTTCACAAATTATTTAATATTTAGCATTGCCTATCAGGTATATACATATACTGTATGTCTTTCAAACCACAAGACTTGTGGCATCGACAGGCTGGCGGTGACTGTTCAAACGTTGCGTCAAGCAACCCATTCAAATCATTTTCACGAGTGCTTGATTATACAGTGGCATCTCTATAAGTGCAACCTCTATAATAATAAGTGCGCGATCCCTCGCTAAACGCAAGACACGTAATCTCTACATTAACGCGTAGTTACAATAAAGCGCATAAGTAATTGACCCCGTAATTTGGATAGAAATGACAAATGTTTGAAACGTTACTGCATATAATTGGGGACAAAGTTGAACGTTTTATTATGTGACATAAATGATATGACGAGTTAACTAATTATAGTTTGGTTAATAATACGTCAATTATACAGCGTAAATTACAAGTTTAATTAATACCGTGCCAAAATAGCGAGCATTAAAATTGACTGAGATAAATAATATGGTTAATATTAATATTAATATAGGATTATGTCTCTGTAAAATATAATTCATTATTATATCAAATCCACCATGGATCAAAGAATTACAGCACTATTAAAATATTGCTCCACATGTTTTTAAATTCAATAATTGTAATTAATTAATTGTTTTTATTCATATTAATATTGGCAAATTTTGCAAGTCCAAAGGCCTATGACAAATAATTGTTTACAGGGATGTAATGAATAAAGGTTTAGTAAGCTTCATTGCTTGATTAATTCTGCTAATTCCAAAACATTATTATTTTTTTCTCTTAACAGGAGATATTGTTACCTCATCCAATTCACTTCCATAGTCATTTTCCGATGATGATACCATTGAGGAAGTCAATACTGAAATCCAACATACTAAAGAAAAAATTAAAAAAAGAGCTTCAGTTTGAGAAAGGGAGAAACCTTCTAATACCCCTCTATTACTATGCAAAAGAGGTAGAGCTGTGAATGCAAGCAAACTACATATACATCCTCCAACAAACAGGTAACAGCTTTGTGACTCGGGCATTGGAGACATAGTAATAGAGTAATGTGTATAGGGTAGAATAGCCATATGGTTTTAATAGAACAGTGAGAGAGGATGCTGTTGTTGCATGCATTATATGTTTGGTCTCCTATACATATTAGGGTTGCTCATACTAATAGTACTTTAATTTTTCCAGCTTCAATCATGTCACCCCTACCTGATTTACATTTTGAAGAACTTTTGTTGCTCCTTCAGCCACATGTTACATGTTGGGGGTGTTTATGTTATAGTTAGACTTAGGCCCCTCATGATTCACTTTCTCAATTGGTATTAGAGAATGGGGATATCAGTCTAACACTCCAGGCATCTCAGCCCCACCTGAAATTTGTGAATTGTGACAAAGAGGTCAATAGTTGGTGGAGAGCATTACAGAATTGTATGCTATCATCAAAAACTCTGAATATTTCTGGGAACCAAGGAAGCTACCTTCGCTCAGAAGGTATTTGAAAACTAAACTCCTGGGGTTCAAATATTCCAATTGAAGTAGAAATGTGTGATAGACTGCTTATGCTGTGTATGTGAAGCAGTTGAGTTTCATCTGAATCCTTTGTTGATGATGACTTTGCCAAATTAAAATGGGCAGACTGCAACAAAACTAGACAAAATAAACATTCTATAAATGAGATTGTGATGTGGCTGTAAAATTGACCAGGGTGGTTGATGACATTTTGAAAAGTAATAATGGTGCTCATTCATAATTTATGAACTTGTTATAATGTTTACCTTATTATTATTATACCAGAATGTGATAAATTATAAACCATAACAGGATTACTATATTATATATAGAGAATTACCTCTATATAAAAATTATTAATATGAAACTAATTTACATTAAATCCACCATGAAACCCAAAATTTACAGCACCATTAGAAGTATTTTAAAGAAAGCTCAAGTACAGTTTTTCCGTATAGGATTAAATCGTTCCACAAGTTTTCGATTTCTGGTGGATAGTTACGTTGGCCAATTTGTTTGCTAGTCTTAGATTTTTTTCTTCGGCTCAATTAAATTGAGTATTTTATCAATTTTCTGATTTATATTACGCAGCTGATATTTGTGAATTTTATGATAAAGAAAATATCCAAGGATAATTCCGATCAATAGTCCAAGAATAAATTCGCTTGTGAGAGCAAACATTTTAATGATGAAGTCTGTTGGACAGATTTTGTAAATTTTTTGAGTCACATTATTTAAACTAGAGAAACGAACCGAATCATCAATGTATTCCAAAATCTCAGAAGTAATAAAGGAGAGATGCAACTATCTGGAAATTTCACAAACGTTTAACCCGTAATCCCACAGATAAAACCATAGAATTTATTAGGCTATGGGTTGATAATGAACGAGAATTAAATACAGAGGTAGAAGAGGAGAATAGTAATAGTGCTGGACTAGCGGGACGAGAGAATAGGGGGTAGCCATCGTCTTCGGGCAAACTTTGGTACACCAGTTTTCCCTCCCATGCAGTAGACCTCTTAGTTTTATATATTTAGTGGTATATTTGGAGTCTGTACAGACTCCAAATATACCACTTATTTCGGACTATAACTATACCATCTATGACGTGCGATTTACATTTGCCTCGTCATTCGAGTGACGTGCGTTTTGCGTTTGCCTCGTCAAAGATGGGATGTTTATAGTCTGCTCATCAGGTGACGTGTAGATTGTGTTTGTATCGTCATTCGAGAACCACCAAGGTATGTGTCGTGGCTTGACGTGTGATTTCTATTTTTCACGTCGCTCAAATGACGACTGTGGCTAATTTTTGTCGTCAGGTCACATGCCAACTATTGTATGCTAGTTTGGCAACCGTAGGCTTAATAAGGAACAAAAATTAATATCGATAAAGCAGAACAAACGTACGTCCATATCACCATCGGGTCAGATACTTTTCGTGCCGTGCGTTACTTTTGATCCAAGCCGGGTACATGTTATTTTTAATTAATGCTTAGCACATACCGCCTCGTCAGTTGCTTTTTCGTGTCTTTGCTATTGCAAATGATCGGTTAGCCATCCAAGTATTGTGTTGGGTATACTTTGTATGTCGTGTGTTCGAAAGGGCATGATCACCTTATGGTGGCTCGATACTTTATCTTGGTGGTTAGTTCAATCCACAAAAAAGTAAATGGCTAGCTCGATTTGTGGTTAGATTTAATCCTTACATTATTGGATTATGTTCCTACCCCCTGATTGGATAAAATCTCATAAGGTTTTAAAATACATTATTAGCACCGGGGAGCCTATTACAAGAAGAGATGTGCGCCGTCACCTTCGATCGGGATGGATAAAATTGCAACCAATAGATTTTCAGAACAACAAACAACAGGATACGTCTAATATCACCGCTCAAATTTCTCGAAATGAAAAGACTAGAATGATAATGTCCGCACGTGGGGATCTTCTCGCACTCGGTAAAAAAGTACATTTTCGTAATATCGTGGATCCGGGATGCGTCACAGATATCGAGGGTGGAACTTTGATTCATCTGGGAGTACTCGATGATGGTGCTGTAAAAAAAGCCACTGAAGCGGTAAATTACTATTATTTTCACACCTTGAGTAATCCTTCGCACCGTAGCAACGATTTCTGGGAAAATTTCATAGAGCATTTTGGGACGTATGCGCGAAACAATCTCTTACCTTTCACAAGTTCAAACACAGCAAGTTCGCATAACGTTGATCACCGAGGATGTGTTGACACTCTGTTGCGCGATCTCTATCCGCTTTCAATTTCCGTTAATCAATCCATGCGAGAATATTACGGGGGATTATATGAGAAACTAGAAAATTTATCGTGGGGGGGGGGGGGGGGGGGGGGGGGGGCCCCCCCCTTGTGGGGTTTTCCCGCCGCTAGGAATTAATTTTACCCCGCCCGCCGCTTCCCTGGGGGTGATCCCGACCAGCCAACCCCTCCCTCTTTT